TGGGTGGACCAAATAGGAAGAGAATTGCAGGATCTTAGCATTGGAAGGGGCCTTGGAAGCCATATGATACAACCCAGACATGCACAAGCACCCCTTCTTTAACATGTCTGACCACTGGTCATCAAGGCTTTCCTTGAAGACTAGAGGGAGAATGCAATATCACGGGCGTGGTGTTGTTTGTCCTTCATTCTCAAAGAGAACCATGATATCAGGCAGGTTTTAAGTGAGGGAGAGCTGTACAAAGTCACCAACCTCACTTTCTCCTCCGGTGCCATCTGGGTCCAGTGGCCAGATACATCAGGATGACTGTACAAAAAGCAATGAATATATAGAATTAGGGGATCTGGGTTCAAACCCTGGCTCTGCCACTTACTGTCTGTGACTTTGGGAACGTCATCTAACCTATTTGGGCCTCAGTTTCTTTATTTGCCAAAAAAATGAGAAGATTGGATTGAATGGTTTTTGAGTTCCCCTCCAGCTCTAAATCTCTGGTCCAATGAGCTTCAGGCAGCCCTTTCTGAGAGGTCTGTTGGGAAGCTTTTCATACGTCAAGCCTTCATTTCCCTTTTTCCAACTTCTACCCATCCTTCCTGGTTCTGCTCTTTGGTGTCAAGCAGAGCCAGCCCAAGCCCTCCTTTCCATAATGTTTCTGAAGAGGTTAAACACTTGTACAGAATTTTCTGGGCATGTAGAAAATCGAATAGAAAGGGAGAATTTAGTGGCTTTCAAATTTCCTTTTTTGTTGTTTTTCAGTTGTTTCGGTCATGTCTGACTCTTTGTGATCCCATTGGCAGTTTTGGTGGCAAAGATACTGGAGTGGTTTGCCATTTCCTTCTCCAGCTCATTTTACAGATGAGGAAACTGAGGCAAATTGGGTGAAGTGACTTGCCCAGGGTCACACAGATTAGTAAGTGTCTGAGGCCAGATTTGAACCCAGGAAGATGAGTCTTCCTGACTCCAGGCCTGGCGATCTATCTCCTGCATCACCTAGCTGCCCCTTCCTTAAGTTTCCCTCTCCAAATTAAGCAGCTCGTGCTCAAATATCTAATATTAGGTATCTGAATACTAATTCATAAGATCTATCATCTCCTTAGATCACAGATTTAGAACTAGGAGGGACCTTGGAGATTTACCAAGTCCAACCTACTCATTTTTAAAGGAGAAAACTTAGTCCCAGACAGAGAAAATGTATTACTTGTTCAAGAATACATAGGGCAGGAAAAGTAGAGCTGGGATCTGAACTGCCACTCTTATTATGGTATTATGCTCCTATTCAACACGTCCTATGCAAACTATCCTTGTTTCCACTCTGGACAAAGAAGGCTTTTTTTTCTTTCACCTAGAGTGTCTGTAACCTCTTCATTGCTTCATCTTAGTGTTGAAGTGGCCCTGGGCTCTAACAGGGCAGGCCAGGGCACCCAGTGCTATTGAAGGCCCCACCACACTGTAAAGGGTTTGAGGCTGACCTTGATGATAGACTAAGCCCTTCGTCTATTTTCAGAGACCAGCCTAATAAAGCTGGAGAGGCTTATCAATCAATTAATCCTCAACAAACATGCATTAAGCAGCTTCTACGTGGTAGGAGATGGGGATAAAACCAATGAGGGCAGCTGGGGTTTTTCTCTAGGGTGTCAAAATTTAGTGGGTACTAGTAGCACTTGCAGATAGAAATTGACAGAAACAGATATCAACAATATATAGAAACAAAGCAACTTGGCACCTTAAAGCAAAACAAAACTATATCTTTCTGTGGACATCACCTTTTACTATAGGAATCTGCAGTGTCTTATAAAACACCTCTCGTATTACTCAAAGCAGACTTGGGCAGGATGTACTATTGATAGGCCTAACTAGAGCGGGGCCTGCTTCCCTCCTCACCTCATTGTTCTCCCCTACTTAGTGCTTCTCTACTGTCCCTGAACAATGGCGCTTTATATTTGAAGTACCATTTCCTCCTTTCCCCAGTCAGCCCTTGGTGGTAATCTCCCCAATAACAGTCTCTCTGTATCCTGAGGTCTCTCCCAAATAGATTCCTGTTCCTATAATGGTCTACCCTTGACAGCCCCACCTTTCCACTCAACCTTGTGCTTGGCCTAGGCTCCAGAATAGCTAACTATAGCTCTGAAACCACAGCTTTGGCCCAGTGTGACATTCCTGAAGGTTTTATGGTTTAAATGAGTATAAGCTTCCTCCCTCCTCTACCCCTCCCAGTTGTTTGGATATAGTACCATTAGATTTCCTATCTTCTCTGTGTACTCAATGATGGGTCTTGAGAGTAACATCTTAATCAGCCGTGATTCTCCTTTCCTGTCTATAAACCTGGATATACGCTGGATAATGTCCAGAGGGTGCTGGGAGAGGAAGTATGGTATAGTGAATTGAAGGCTGGTTTTAGAGACAGGAAGACCAGGGCTCAAGCCCTGCTTCTGATACATAGGGACTGTGTGACCCTGGGCAAGTCACTTAACCAATAAGTGTTCTAGGTAACTAAGTTTCAGAACAGCTGCTAATTTGTATTGGTAGAGTTCTTTCATCTGGAATTTCCTATACCAATGAAATCATAGGTTGCGTCCAAAAATATGTAAAGAAGACCAGACAAGCAACTGACTAAGAACAGTGTGTCACCTTGTTTTGTTAAATTTGAACAAAGGAGGTCAAAAAGGGAATGGGTGACCCTGGAGGACAGAAAGAGCTGTCTCCTGTCTCCACTCACCTACCTTCCCTCTTCCATTTTTATTGCCTAAACTACATGTGAGGAACTTACTTTTCAGGGGTAAGGGATGTTAGCCCTCCACATTTATTACTGAGCATTCCTTTCTAATTATTTATTTATTTTTACCCGACTTCATCCCATTACTCAAGCTATTTTCCCATCCCACAGATCTCTCTGTTAATGTCACCGAGCTGATTCTAGCCTACAGTTTAATGTCAAGATGCGTCACCCACGGGAATGCTGGTGGAGTGTTTACAGCCAGGGATGTAGGAAGATATGCAATGTGTCTGTGTCACATGCAATCACTTGACTTCATTGTCGTCAGAAAGTAGGGGGGCCATTCTGGCCCTCCAAATGTCAGCTACTCAGCCTAAGAGCTATTTTGTCATTACTTCTTCCAGTCATTACAGTCAGCCAACATTTGACCAGTGGCTTTTTGGAGATCCAGCTCATTTTTCTTACAACCATTTGCTAACAGTCACTGGTATATTTACAATTTTTTCCCTGGGTTTTGATATGATTGCATCTGGGAAAGTGGAAATCAATGAAGGATTAGATAGGATGTGCTGACTGAATAATGGAGGTAACTTGGAATCTCATACATCTCTTTTTACCATGTTGGGGAGTGAACACTATGGAGTCGTGAGGAGGGCCAGGCAAAGCTTCTGGCAGATATAAATGAACACCTTGTGCCCTGAAGTTTAAGCCAGTTTTTGAGAATGGGACATAGGAATCCACCTCTGAACCACTGGATCTCCATGGTCCTCAAAGGCTGAGCATTTTATATATATAATCAGCCTAGCACAGCCTTAGAATGTTGGGATTTTAGAACAAAAGGGTATTGATGATTAAGTATGACATATTTCTTTTTTTTTTTCTGATTTTGTTGGCATAGGAAACTCCCAGGAGAGGAAACTCCCTCTATTAATGAAGGTCAACTGCATTTCTACAACTTAGGTCTTAGAGGGTTTCATGGGGGGATTGAGACTTATCCGGGCTTACATAGCCAGCATGTGTCAGAGGCAGGATTTGAACACAAATCTTCCAGACTCTGAAGCCAGCTCTCTATTCACTGTGCCGTATGATCAAATTCCATTTTATAGATGGGGGCATCATGGCCCATAGTGATGTAGTTGGAGGCAAAGCTGAGACTAGAACCCTGCTTCTAATTCATTACACGACTTAGTTCATTTTAACTCCTTCAGTGTTTTAAAGTGTCCTTGGAACATGTTTTTTATGTATAAGATGCCACAGAAATGCAAGGTTTTTGAGGACAGAGATTTAAATTGTGTTTTTATAGCCCTAAAATCTAGCATAATGCCTGGCACATTGTATGTGCTTAATATAGGTTTGTTGAGTGACTGAAAACATTTATATTGAGGACAATGGCTATTTCCATAGCATACTAAGCTACTCTTTCATTCTACCCATACTGTTTCTCATACCCAACTAACTCCTAGAAGATGAGGGAACTCCCTTGAGGTTAATATGGAATAAGGCTATATTAGCTCATCTTAGACTTTCTTTTTTGGTTTCATTGCCTGGCAATCACTTTACACTGACTTGAAGTACAAGTTGGGAAGCAAAAAAACAAAACAAAACAGAACCAAAAACCATAAAGGAGAAATCTTCCTTCAGTATTGCCCACTCACTGTTGGCCCACTTGTAGAAGAGCCTAGCTGGTACTTGAGACATCTTCAAAAGTATTCTTTTGAGCTCTCTTTGCTGCTTTAGAATCAAATATTTCTCATCTGTTGTCACCAAGTTGTCCTTCCTGTGTAATAAAAGCATTTCAATCTGATTTACCAACTATTCACAATAGTGTGTGTGTATGTGTATATGTGAACATAAACCAGAGCTGCAACTAGTGTGGGACAACTGGAATATTACCCAGTTTGACAAATTTAGGGGGTTCTTTGTGTATGTGCAGTCCTTTAGCAACAGAGTAACATCAGAGCTTACTAAGTATTTCTAAGAATAGCAAAGTGGGAAACGACTAGCTGAGGGCTGCAGTAAGTTCCTCTTCCTCTCTCCTCTGTTCTTCCTCACTCCAGCCTCCCCTTACCATGGTAGCTTTTCTAGCAGCGGCTGTATGTTGGTGTCCTAGGGCATGCCCTTACCCCATCCCTTAGTCACCTGGGGTTATGCTTTAATTGTCTGTGGTACCTGCCTTGGGTCCCAGAATTCCCAGTTATGTATCTGTGTTGAAATTCATGGGTTCTTGGACTCTTCAGTGGCTAAAAATTTGTTTGCAAACTCAGAACACAACAGCTTTAATGGATTTTTTCTTTTTATTTTTAATTATACATAAGAGCCTTGATTACACCCCAGGAATTTATTTGCTTAAGAAAAAGTCAAACTATGGATTACAAGATTGAAGATTAATTTCCACCTCATCAGATTAATTTTACGGTTCACTCCACAAGTATGATTGTAAAACCTTGTATTAGCTAAAAAGTTTTCAATACTATTTTACAAAAAAGTACTTAAATATGGATGAGACTGATTGAAGATGGTGTTTTCCCTCTGTTTGGTTATTGAGGCTTGGGGGAAAAGCAGGACGTTCTCATTTAGAATCAATCTCTCATTGATTTCCCAGAACACAGTAATTAATTGGGGTGCTAATAGAAACAATCTCAAATCTGTTATTCAGTTCAAGTGTCCGTTAAGAAAAAAGGTCTAGACTGCTTATAAAATATAACAAAAGGAAGGAATTGTAAATAGAAAAATAAAATATGCAGAGGAGAGAAACATTCTGAGCATATTGCTTTAAGATCCCCACAGAGAAACAGATCAAGAGACATCACATTCTTTTGCCTGCCTATAAATCTTTCACCATCTCTGCCTAGCAAACCTACTCTCTAGTCTTCTTTAAGAAAGCATTCCAATAAGCTTTGCCTACTAAACAGGATCTTAATGTCCAGAATGATGTCCAGGGGAGAGGAACCTGTGGCTTTGAGGCCACATGTGGCCCTCTAGGTCCTCAAGTCGGGCCCTTTGATTGAATCCAAACTTCACAGAACAAATCTCCTTAATGAAAGGATTTGTTCTGTGAAGTTTGTATTCAAAGGGCCTAACTTAACGACCTAGTGGGCCACATGTGGCCTGGAGGCTGAAAGTTCCCCATTCCTGTATGCTATAGAACAGCTCCATTGAGAGATGTTGACAATTAATAGGGTGGGAGACTTCCAGTGCCAATATGGGTACACTCAGGTGAGGCCTTATGGAACTATGGGTGGCTGTCACCATTCACTGAAATCTTAGTTCGGGCAGCCCTTTGCTGATATCCCCTCTTAGCAGGTCTAAGACTGGGATCAAAGCTATTCCTTTTCTCCCTAAAAGACAGGTAGTAGTTACAATAATATGATTAGTGAGAACAGAGCTTCTTCCATTTTCAATCCTGTTAAAAAGCTAACATTGTTGTGAGTAAAAAATAATAAAAAAAATAGGTGACCATTTTTTATTTCATCTTTACAGTGATATGGTAGCAATACAAGGAAAATGGTGAATACCCTTGCTGAAGGTATCCTGGTCCCATCTCTTACTAGAGGGTTCGGTTTGGAGAAAAAGAAAAGGATTTTTTTTTTTTGTTTTTGGCTGCAGCTTTGGTAAACAATGAATGACAAAATACATTGCAGAGATGTCTCTGAAAGAGATGATGACTCCGAACACAGAATACGCCACACCACGTTCATCGACAAATGATTCACTGCATCCCATCTCAGTGGAAGGGGAGAAGGAAGTCCTAGTGTCACCAGGAAAACAAACAGACGAACCAACGAACCGAGAGTATGAAAACACCAACACCCAACTGTGGGGGTCCTCCACCCCATCTTCTACTGAATAGAAACATCACGTTTGCATATTAAACAGCAGCTGCGTTATTGCTCTATGTATCGGAATCAATTAAGGAACTCATAATAAACGACGCATTACAAACTTAAGGTTCTTTGGTGAAGAATGAGAGAAACCTGTATCTGAACGTTAAAGAACAGCCTTGTCCTGGCTAGCCTGGCCTCTATCTGTTGATTCGCTGGATGCGTTCGCAGAGCAAGGAGAGGTACTGAGTGAGTTTCACCATGGCAACGATGGCCACGCCCCCACTCATCATGCACGTGGGCCAGAAGAGGGAGTGGAACAGCACGTTGGAGCTGTAGAGTCTGGTTAAGATGACATTCTTTTGGATGCCAGATGGGTCGGAGAAGCAGGAGAAGCGTTGGTACTTCCTGAAATTCTCCATCACCACATTCACCACGGACAGGGACTCTTCGAAGTTCTTGCCACACTTGGGTATGTAAGAACACTGTGGAGAGATGGAGGGAAGCTCGTTGAAATACATTATTTCATTTTTTCCTCCTTATCTAAATATATGACCATAGACTAGAGTTGGAAGCTCTGGGCTTCAGGAGCCCCTGGGCTCAACACTTACTTCTGTGTGAATATGGACAAATCAGAAACTCAAGGTCTGACCGTGTCCTCTCCTACAGGAGCTTCGGCAACTCCCTGTAAGTCCAGGAGAAAATCTAAACTCTTCTGTTTGGAGTTCGAAATCCTTGACAATATAACTTGTGAATTTCCAGTATGATTCCATTTTATCCCCCAGCATATACTCTACATTCCAGTCATCTTGCTTTACTTGCTGTCCCCCTTCAAAAACATTCATCTCCTTTCTCTGTTTCTGTGCACAGGCTTTCTCTTCCTTCCTCGGCTTCTTGGAAGTTCTAATTTTCTTAAGGGCTCTTTTCAAATGCCAATGTCGACAAGAAGCCCTTTGGGATCTTCCTGAGTTACTATTGCCTCAGTCCCTGTCTTTTCCTGCTCCCTGAAAATTATTCTTATTTATTTTGTATATATCTATATCTTGTATATTCATCCATCCATCGATCTAATCTATCTCTTGTGTACATATATATGTGTATATATGTATGTATGTATGTATATATATTGCCTGTACACACACACACATACACACACACACACACACAGAGCTAGATGATACAGTAGATAGAGCAGTGGGCCTGGAGTCAGGAAGACCTGAGTCAAATCTGATGCTTCCTGGCTGTGTGACCCTGAGCAAGTCACTTAACTCCTATTTGCTTCAGTTTCCTCATCTGTAAAATGGCCATAATGACAGCACCAACATTGTAGGACTGTTGTGAGTATCAAATTGGACAATAATAATTGTAAAGTGCTTAGCACGGTACCTGGCACATAGTACGCACTATAGGAATGTTAGCTAATATTATCTTACAGTTACTTAGTGGTATATATGTTGTATCTCTGCAGGAGAATGTAGCCTTTTTGAGGTTAAGGACTGTTCTGATTTTGTCTTTGTATGCCCATCATATACTGTAGTGCTCTATACATAGTGGGAACTTAATAAATGCTTGTTGAATGTATAAATGAATTTCTCTGAGCCTCACATTCTTCATCTGTATTAATGAGGGGAGGAGTTTGAACAAGAAAATATTCTTTGATGAGTTCTTTTGAACGAGCTTTCAGGACAGTGTTTAGAACATGTGATGAGCCCTTCTCCCTATAAAGTATGGATGTAACCATTGTTAAGAAAGCAAAGACACCAGCTGTGTGACTCTGGGCAAGTCACTTAATCTCAATTGCCTCACCAAAAAAAAAAAAAGCAAAGACAACTCCTGATTGGTTTTCACTGACTAGAACTGTCCTCAGATGATTTGGTAGGATGGAGCAGGGAGGGATTTAAGACTAGGACATGGGAAGAAAGTGGAAAAGCATCCATTAAATATTTACTATGAGGTAGCTGTGACATGGTCACTGTAGAGCCAGAGCTCTGCATCTTCAGCACACTGACTGTGTGACTCTAGGCAAATCGCTTTACCTCTGAGTGCTCTAGGGAACTCTCTAAGATTCTAAGTTTCAGAGAAGAAGCCGACCTGCCTTTGTTCAGGAAGATTCCTCATCCTGAAGTTTTCTATATCGGTGAAATTACAAATCTAGTACCTATACCTAACATGTGCCTAACATGTGGCTAAGTTCTAGGGATACAAATAGAAAAGTGAGACAGCTTCTGTTCTGAAGCAACTACCCTTCAAAACAGGGGAGATAACTCCACATAACTACAGTGCAGGTAACGAGACCTAGGGGACCTTAGACATCACTGGAAGGCCATATCCCTCACCAAAGGTTGGTGGAAAAAGAGTAGTGGGCACAAGGGTGGAGCAGAGTGGGGTTCTGGGTTATCTTTAGCTCCAGTAGGGGTGGATTTTTCCAGTAGGGTGAGGGAGCTGGAGGAGAAAATCAGCAGCCAGCTGAGAAATGGTATTCAATTCCTGCTGAGAACTGGGCAGAAGGTACTGGGGAGGGGGAGAGGAAAATCTTTGGCTTTCTGACACCTACCCCTTCAGGATCCTTAGTCCACCCACGGGCATCTGGGCAGTGGGCAGTTGGGGTGAAGGGAGGAAAAGGTTCTTGGCTCTGTCTGTTCCTTTGGGGCTCTTGGGCCACTTGTTTGGACAAATAAAGGGAAAAGAAGACTTGTACTTTGCTCCTTGCTTTATTGGGAATTTTTCAAGGCCCAAATTCTGTTTGTCTTTTAGGACCAGAGGATGGTACTAAAAGCTTGGGAAGGTCTGTATAAGATGCTATGAAAGGGCCCATCAAAATCTTAATGTGTTGTCGTGACACCCCAAATTTACTTCCTTTCCAAGGAAGGATTATGGATAACTAAGAGTGTTTTTAGTGTTTTCAGTATTTCTTTATTGGCTCTTGAGGAAAATGTACATTTTCTACGTTTTTTTACGGGGCAAAATAAAAGCTCTCCTCTCCCTATATGTATTTGTTACCTTGAATGTTTTTGCAGGAGCTGGGGATCCTGTTATCCACATGTGTGGAAACTGGACACAAGCTTATTCAGAAATTTCACAGAACATGTTCTCTGCAGGGGGCATAAAGCACCAGAGACTCTTGGCCCTTCAGGTCAGTTCCTTCAGATTCAAACCAGTTCATGTGAGACCAGAACTTAGGTGGTCCCAGACTCTGGGTTACATGTAAGATGGGTGTAATTATACCTGTCCTCACAAGCTTGCTGTGAAGATTGAATCAGATACTTGTGTGTAAAGTGCTATCTAAACGTCAGCTATTATGAAGCAATACCAGTGTCCAATTCATTCTCCGAGACTAGCATCTGCATTGTTAGAATTTCCAGGAGATAATTCTGTTCTAAAATGCTGAAGATTTCAGGTAAAAAAAAAATATGTGTCATATAATAGGGCCACCTTCTGGATATTGATTTGATTCACATGACTCTCCATATTAATGCTTCCTGACACAAGGGAATGTTTGATACTTCCGTTCCAGTCCTCACTGGGTGAATAGAGGATTGTGGCCCTGGAGAACATCTTTGAGATGATGTTGTCCAAGGTTCTTGTTTGACAAGTAAGCAGAATGAGGAGTGGAGATGGGAAGGGACTTGTCCAAGACCACAGAGCAAGTTGATGCTTCAGGCAGGTCTAGAACCCAGGTTTTCTTTTTTTTTTTGGGGGGTCTAATTCTCCTTCCACTATACTACAGGTCAAGGACAATGCATAGCTGGACTAAGAGGCAGCATGGAAAGGTGCTGGACTGGGAGTCAGAGGCCCTAAAGTTGAAACCTTGTTCTGTTACTGCCTACATAATGTCAGCACATCAGTCAACCACACTAGGCCTCAGTTTCCTCACTTGTAAAATGAAGGGGTTGGACTGCATGACCTCTGAGGTCTCTTCTAGCTCTATGATCCTAAAATGGCCAAAGCAACCAAGTTTAAAGGCAAAAACTAGACCACTGACTGGTTGTTTTGACTATTCCAGGGGAAGAGTAACTTTTTCTCAATTGGCTTTCATTTAGCTCTTGGGGTGATGCTAATTTATTTGTAGTATCACTTTTAGAAAGAAAGTCCAATTTCCCTCTTGTGGGCTACTCCACTTACGCCATTTAGAGTGGACACTCCCTGGTGAAAGTTAAAGAGTATTCCCAGGACCTGTGGAGAGTGGTTAATGAGGCTTTTAGCATACATGATAAGTTGCCATGAGCATGGCCCATATGAGCAGCAAGGCAGGGTAAGAACTATTTAACTCATCAGACATGGGCCTGAGAGGCTCTATCTTTTTGTTTCTTTTCTCTCTCTCTCCCTCCCTCTCTCCTCCTCCTTCCCTCCCTCCCTCTTCTCTGTCATCTCTATTCCTTCCTTCCTTCCTCTCTCTCTCTCTCTCTCTCTCTCTCTCTCTCTCTCTCTCTCTCTCTCTCTCTCTCTCTCTCTCTCCTCCCTCTCTCCCCCTTCTTTGTCATATCTCTCTCCCTTCCTTTCCTTTCTCTTTCTTCCTCCATCTCTCTCCTCTCTTCCCTCTAGCTTTCTCTCTGTACCCCTGCCATCCCCTTCCCTCACCCTCCCTTCCCTTCTCTCTCTCTCTCTCTCTCTCTCTCACTCTCTCTCCCTCCCTCCCTCCTTCTTATTTCTTCCTTCTCTCCCCCACTTTCTGACTCTTTCCCTTTCTGACTTTCTCCTCCTTCACTCTTAGTTTATCTCCCTTGACCTCTCCCCTCTGCCTTTGTTCTGCCATTGTTTTTCTTACTTTTCCTCTTCTCGTCTTTCTCTTAATGACTGGTCATAATATGGAACTTCATTATTTTGAATGTCAAGGCATAGAGTCCCCCCTCCTCCACCTAAATTAGCAAGATGCTCAACATTCATACCTTTATCAGGTGGGAACAGCATTTACTATATTTATTGAATCAAATCTCATGTTCTTGTTTCTTTATTTTAAAAGCAGGTTAGTTAATCATCTTATGTTTTTCTAAGAAAAAAATGTCACTGTTTACCTGTGTGTTCCTTGATGTCATCCCCTTCCTTGGGTCAGTGAGAAAAAATCTTTCTTAACCCCTGCCTATTCTGGACAATGCAAACACTTTTTTATTCTCTTTCCTTTCTTTGAACCAACCATGCAGAGATGAGGTGAGCCTGTGGGTTAGGAATGAAGTTCTTGTGGCCTTAGCATGGATCATGGTTAATTTTGTCCTAGAGTTTGTGGGTCCAAGGATAAAACAGATGTTTCTTTTTCTTTGTGGTTAGGACACATAATTTTATTGGTGTAAGAAGCTGCTCAAGAGAAAACTGTGATAAGTATTCTGGCACTGGATTTTCAACCTATGATTTTAGAGAATTGCCCAAGATCACACAGTCAGTATATGTTACGGGTGGGACGCAAACCTTGGCATCTCAGACTTCAAGGCTAGCTCTCTATTCACTATGCCATTGAAAGGGAAAATGGGCTGGCTTTGGCTTGCTCTTTCCA